AAACATGGACAAACAGTGACAGAAATATAAAGAGAATAAACAATCATAACCCAAGGTCGTTAGGACAACAATTGTGGAGATATTCTAATAACTCATTGGTTTCTGAGGTTTGTGCAGATTATGTTGCTTCGAATAATAATCAAGTTTTTACGATAACCATAAAGCTCAACGATTACAACAGTAGTGGAAACGCATAAAATGATTATTTACCTAACCTTTCACTACTTATAACTGCTGGAATTCTTAGATATAACAAACGTTGCTTGAAACGATACCAGCCATTATGGGACTTTTTAACCTCCTAAAAGTTTCTGCTGGGCTCTGCTTACTATCAGTTAATCTGAATGGATAAACATATAAAGAATTCACTATTATTGAAGGTGTTTCATCAGAATTTCAGGGCTCTAAAGGCGAAATGTAAATAAACTTACACAGCATACCAAACCAATCCTTAAGAACATATGTGATTGGTATTACTTGCGAGGAAACAGAAAAGGTTGGAAAAAATAACGGCAATTAGTCAATTAAACTACAGGGCACTGTTAAAGCGTATTGGCTGATGATGAAAAGTTGACAAATGAACTACTTAGATTCTATAAGCCTGATACTTAATGAAAGTAAAACTGCAACATTAGACCACCAAACAAAGATGTACTAAGCAGAGGTAACTTAGTTCTCAATGATTGTATTTATTAAAACTGTACAACCATATGTTACTGCTTGTATTACACCGTCTTTGATTGGACCGAATTGATCAGTCTCTGTTGGCATATAGGCATATGGCCACTTCCTATCATTACTATACATAGTTAAAAGACAGGTAATATCGAGTCATCCGCACAACAGCCCATATGCCAACAGAGACTGATCAATTCGGTCTAATCAACGACGGCGTAATACAAGCAATAACATTAAACCTGTACTCGTCGCACAATAAGTGGTTATTGTGGCTCGGTGGTGTAGCGGATAACACTCTCGAGTTTGAAGCGGTCACTCCCGAGTCCGAGTCCCAGCGGGAACAACATTACTCACTGGGAGGTAGGTACATCCAGCTAACGAGTCCCAAATAGGACGCAGTGCGCATCCTGGATTCAGCTGCTAGCCACTGCCCATCATTACCGTACAACTATGGTTGCATTCATTCGATACAAACCACAGTCTATTGTTTATCAACAGTGAGACGTGATTACAACAATGTTTAATAGTAGAAGAAAATGGTACTCTTAAAGACGGAAGGTAATCTCTACTCTGATCATTGTAAGTCTAATGAGTTCATGTTATACCTTCGAACCAAAGTATAGAAATGTCAATGATTCACTTACGTGTAGATGAGTAAGTTAAACTCCTTTGAAATTGTAAAAGAGGGACTTGTAAAATGCTTTGAAGGAACTACTTGTACGAGACAGCCTTAGATGATGAGTTCTTCAAGAAGAGATCAGTTGATATTCTTTGTCTTATCTTTGAATAGTCAAGGTGGATAATATTCCGAAATGTGTTGAGGGAATCGGCGTTGCTCCACAGAAAAAAATCAAACAGATAGGGGCGTATTATTGTGGTTTTGAAGGATTAACTGCCTATTGACGAATGTGATTTTCAGGTTAGTTGAATGAAATGTCTTCCTAACATATCTATAAGATCTACTTTCAAGAATTTCAGTTTCTGTGATATTTTCGAATTTAAAATTCATACAATGAGTTCTCATGGTGAAGATCAACTGCTTTAAAATTCAGTGTAAGCTCAATGAATAATGCATTTTCTCTACAACTACAAAAAAACTTGACTTATACATCTGTAGATAGCCAAATCATTGATAATCTATAAACTCAAAACTGATATTTTCGCTTAGAGGCATTACTTACATTCATTCGGCTTACCATGGGTAGAATAGATTAGAAACTCCCTTCAGTCTTAAGAAGCAACTTTTTATTCAACGATTAAACACAACATTATTCTTGTGACTATGGTCTTAAATCAAAAACTGCTACTTATCTTGGATGATTATAAATACTTTATGAAGTGGAATCGTTGATTGGGTTATTTTTTTACTCTGTAAACTTTTCATTACTTGATCAGCTCAAGATAAGACTATAAATAAGAACTTTAAAATTTGTATGTAGCCTAAACATGATGAACGTTCTGTATTCAAGAAATCCGGTTTCTTGTTGATTCCTAATTCGAATTCATTGAACTCTTGCACGGTATGTTACTGGATTAGAAGAATTTTCAGTTGTGTTACCTATATGGTAACTAAATTACAAAGTAATTTACGTTTAAATTGATAACCATATTCGATGAAGAAAATACATTCGAACAATCGAAATAATTTAGTCTCTTTTTTAGAAACAAGGTGAAAATTTTCAAAGGGGGAAATATCTTCACACACCCTTATTTTAACTGTCAGTTTTTGTCCCAGTTGTAAGAAATAATTATTAGGTATGAAATTTTCAAAAAGCGGTCTAATATACTAAAACTTTAATGTTAATGTAAAACTTGGAGACTGTGGTAGAGTATAATTCCTGACCACATTGTTTATTTGATGTGATACAAAATGAGTGATACTGTATTATTTACTGGATGACGCTAAGAACAGAATATAATGTTCATATTCACATCAAAGAAGTCATTGGATTAAAACAGACTAGATAAAACACAATACCTTTGAAGTGAAGACAGGAGTATGACAAGGCTGCCTACTATCACCGATGATCTTCCTAATTGTAGTCGACCGAACTGGATCATGCAGCAAACTGTGAAGAGCGAGAAGATGGGTATACTCTGGCTGGACGGATGAAAGACCCTAGGAGATTTGGATTTCGATGATGATGATGATTTATATTTAATGTCTTGTGGGACAAAATCGAAGATCCACAGGCGAAAAACAATAAGTTGACAGAAGAGGCGAGGCAGTGAAGATAGGACTTCTTTCAGATGAACGTAGTGAAGATAGAGGGGATGAAGATATCAAACCAACAACGATGACAAGGACGAAAACAACAACGAATATCAATCACCATAAACGGGAGAAATCTAAAGGAGGTTGTCTTTTTCACCTACCTACACAAGACAGCATCGTTTCAACTACAGGCTGCGGTGGCAGTGACACAGATGAAGACGTCAAAATCACAGTCAAAATGATAGCAAGACAGGCCTTCATGAATTAATGTGAGGTCAATGTGGAGATCTACTCCACTCCACTCTGTATAAAAAGAAGATCCAGATTTTACACACGTCAGGTCAGTGCTTCTGTGTGATGGTTGAGAGACTTGGCGCGTTACGAAAAGCATTTCCAACAAATTGCAGACATACATCATCAACAGCTGCCGCGTACACTTGCTCACTCAATACTGAAGATCAGGTTGGAAGGCGAGGAAGAATGAGCAACAGGGAACTCACTCTAATTGGCTGACTGGCTGGCAACGAACTAACCAAGAACCCATCGCCCGATAAATATGCAGAAGAAGAAAGTGGAGATGGATTGCATTGTGCATACAATGTGAAGACTATTTGGGGACATCATGTGCTAGTGCAGGCCAGGCCTTCGACTGTAAGCTGGATAGGAAACGACGAGTTGGGTGTCCGAGGTGACGGTACATGGATGAGATGATTTGAGGAAGAAATGAGAAGTTATGGGGAGTGGTAGAGTCGGGTTGAGAAGACTGCAGAGAATAGAGTGAAATGACAACGTGCTACCGTATTGATATTTTCCTCTATGAACTCAAAGGACAAATAAAAACAAGCAGTTGAATGCGAGAGAAAAGATTGTCAATTCTGATATGGTTAACTTTAATACATTTCTAAACGAATTAACATGACGTTCGAGGTACTCAGAAGTGAACTCAAAACTGATCATTAAATAAGTAATAGAACTAAAATTTCTGTTGAACAAATTATGCTAGAGATATAAACGTGTTTAACTCCCATGGTTTTTCAAATTTCAAAACAATTTATTTAAATGAACAGAAGGAGTACCTATGTGATTTTTAATATCCCAGATAGTAGTAAATATATTAATTGACGTTTGAGAATAAATGACATTAGGAACATCCTATTCCATTCCGAAAGTATTGTTGGTGATATTTAGATGACACATTTATTGTGTTGAAGGTTTTTCGTCTATGTAAACTCGAAAGCAGATGTAATGCTACTCACTTATGAAATAAAAACAATGAAGAAGGACAATTACCTAAGTTGGATTGTAAAATCAAGAAGAGAGAAGATTCAAGCTAAGATATCATTGCTTGTAGGAAATCAACACATCCGAATAGATACTTGAATTTCACATCATCTCACCTCACATTTATTAATGTAGACAGTGTGAAATGTTTTTAATCATCGGGTTAGGAATTTGACCAGTAAGTCAGAAGACCATAATAAGGAAGTGAAACACAACAAAGACACCCTCCGGAATTTATTCAAGAGCTTATAAGTACTGATGAAAGATAATGATAATATCAGTTATGATTCCAACATACCTAAGAGAGAATTCAAATCTCTTGTAGTGTTGCTGTAGAAAGAAGGTAATTAGAAATTTTACATAGAATTCTTAACAATGCTTAAATAATTAAGGTGGGATTAAAACCTACAAAGTGACCTCGACAGAAACTAAAAGATCCCATGGAGCTAATTAAAACAAATAATGTAATCGATTAAACACCATATAAAAATTTTGAGGTCAAATATATTGGTGAAAGCGGCCTATCTGAGCCTTTCAGAATACCTGAACACAAACATTTAGGAAGATATACAATAATGGATCGTATTAAGATGAGTAAGTTAGAGAAAAATTTAGTTATCACTCTCCATACACTGATGTATAATCTCACAATAAGGTTGAATAGGGTAATAATTCTAAAATCCAATATAATGAGATAGAGGGAGAGATCACCTCAGATATGTAAGTGGAATAATACATTACAAATTGTAGGTATCAGCAAAACTGTACTATCATTAATAATAGATGAATGAACTGTTGGATACTTTATTAGTACTCTGATATCAATATGAGCAAACCTCTGTTGTCATTGGTATTTGACGTTAGTGTAGCTACACATTCACAGGATTTATATCATATGAAACTTCTGATATATAATGCCTATAAGTTTTTACGTTCATTTCCTGCATTCTCAGCTAACCATCAGAATTGTTTAGGTCCACTTGCAACAAGTTCATCAACCCTTCAGAATCATTGTATTGATAATCTTTTCTACATGTTTAACATTTTAAATTCAAGTGGTATACAATCTTGGATTATCAGTGTTCATACATTCTGAGTAACACTTACTTTACAATAATGAATAATTTCTTCAATGAAACATATAGCTAAATTATACCACTTTACATTATTGAGATAAATACTTTCCACTTTTATTAACAGTAGTATAAAAGAAGGTGAATAAATCAAAGAAAAAAAATACTGATCCAATCCATATTCTACATACCATTTACGCATCTGCATTATCCTTGCTAAATGATGCATAGAACTATTTATCATTGTCAATCTTCTTTTTCATAAATTAGATTAACGTGTAATTTCCAAAATGATCATAGTTCAAACGGTATTGTAATTGAATGCAGTGTACAATATACATTGCTTGAAATAATGCTGATGTTTATAATAGCTAAGAGAATCTTCAGTGTTTCAGTTATACAGGCCCTATCCAATGCAATACACAAATTGAAAATATAATATTCAGGTTTATAGTTTCTTATTATTTAGAAGATTGTATTCAATTAATATATGGTAAGATTTGAACGAAGTGATATTAGTGAATGTGTTTTTAAGTGGAACGCATTCCCCATTATTCCGATATATTCCTTTTGGGAAATTATATCATATTTTATTTGCCATATGGAATAAAATGATTTCCGCCTTTCATTTATAAGTAAATATCAAGGAATTTATTTTAGGCACATAAAAAAATATTTGATCCATTATGTTTAATGTTTCATCGGTTGTAACCAAAGAATTTGTAAGAATATTCAACTTCTAAAATTTTTATGTTTTAACATAGAATTTACTTAGCTAACTTGTTGTCTTTATAGAGTCCACGATAACTGTGTGACATTCAAAAAGGATAACTAGTTCCCCTAATTTTAGGGCCCCAGGGTAAGCGTAAAAGAATTCAATGCTTAGATAGCATATATGTTTAAACCAACTAATTCAAAATGAGTATAAAGCCAAATAAGTAAATATAGCATTCAGCTTGATCATTGTAATATAAAGCACACAGAACAAGATCAGGATTTTCAACACCAATGTCAAGGCAGTGTTGCTATATGGTTGAGAAACTTGGCACATTACTACAGATATTCATCAACAGCTGCCGCCTATGCTCACTCGATACTGAAGATCAGATGGCCAGAATAATAAGAATAAGCAACAGAGAACTCTGTCCTACCAACGAACCAACCAACAACCTATCACCCAACAATTATGCAGAGGAAGAGAGTGGAGATGGATTGGGCATACACTGAGAAGGTCGATTCGGGATATCACGCACCAGACCAGGCAGTCGAGTGTAATCCAAGTTGAAAACATCGATTTTGGCCTCCGAGGTGAGGGTGACATGGAGGAGATGATTTGAAGAAGAAATTAAAGCTTGTGGGCAGTCGTGTGGCGAGGTTCAAAGACTGCAGAAAAGAGAATGCAATGGCAACGTGCTACCGAAGTGCTATATTCCGCCAGGAACCCAAGGGAAAAATGATATTATTAATGTAAGGCCTTCATGGAATACTGAGAATAAATTTAAATTGTCTGGTGAAAGTCCAGATACACCTTTAAAACATCATATCATTATCTACATTCTATTGCTCTTTCAAAAGTACATGTTCCAGGATCGTTGACAAGGTGAAACGAGATTTCCAGTCTTCCATTCTTTTAATTATAAATGACAGTATTATCTTACCACAGTCTTCACAAATCTGTCACCTCAAATTTGACAAAACATTTAATCTTATCGCACAGTCTAACTGTAAATTGTCGTCCTTTGTCAAACGTTTATTGAAGATTTAATGAATGAATAAACCAACAACACAGTTAAGAAAAACAAGACATTAATATCCACTTATTGGCGTAGGGCTGGCGACCCCAACCCCGAAAACCAATCCAACCACTAAAGAAACTTCAAAGTAACAACAAAATATAAAAAATAAAAACAAAATTATTCCTTGTTGGAATCAGAGAGGCTAAATGACGCCGGTTGGTAGAAGCTTTCGGAAAGCCAATTGGCCGGCCGATGTGTCTTCTCTCTCTCGATGAAAGCGAAAGTAAACGTGGGCACATGGAAAGTCCGCACTATGTTTGAAGCTAGCAAGGCTGCCCAGATTGTAAAGGAGATGAGAAGCTATAGCACTGAAGCGTTAGGAATTTCTGAAAGCAGATGAAATGGAAGTGGACAATTCGAAATGTCAACTAGAGAGTCAATAATCTACTCCGGTCACCCACACGACAACTACGAGCACAGCACACTAAGTTCTCGAATGGCCATCATGATGTCCCCGAGACCATCGAAGGCTCTCATGCAGTGGGAACCAAACGCCTCTAGGATCATAACAATAACGTTCAACTCAAAAGAAGGAAGAGGAGGGGAATAGGCTGGCTGGACCGAAGAAAAGATTCTAGAAGACTTGGATTTCGCCAACGACGAATTGTGTCTAATGTCACACAAACTTGAAGATCTACAACACTAATACCAGTCAAGTCAGTGCTGCTATGTGATGGTTCAGAGACTTAACGGGTTACGAAGGGCATTTCCAACAAACTACAGATATTCATCAACAACTGCCTACACTCACTCGTTACTGAAGTTCAGATGGCCAGAGTGATGAGAATAAGCAACAAGGAACTCTGACTGGTGTCGAACCAACCAAGAAGCTATTGCTGAATAAATCTGTAGTGGAAGGAAGTGTAGATGGATTGTATTGGGCATTCAGTGAGGAGACCATTCGGTGACCTCACACGCCGTGCCAGGTCAGGCCAGGCGAGGCGAGGCACTCGAGTGTAACCTCGAATGGAAGCGACGAGTTGGGTGTCTGAGGTGATGGTGACATGGAGGAGATGGTGTGTGAGGAAAGAATGAGATGTTGTGGGTAGTTGTGGAGCGAGTTTCAGAGGATTGTAGAGAAGGAATGGAGTGGAATGTAGATGTGCTACTGAAGCCCTATGTTCCATTAGGAACCCAAGTGACAAATAATTTTATTATTATTATTATTAGTCCCTTGGGTTCCTAGTGGAACATAGGGCTTCAGTAGCACGCCTCCAGTGACCTCTGTTCTCTGAGATCTTTTGAACCTGGTTCCACGACAGCCCAGAAGCTCTCATTTCCTCCTCGCATGACCTCCTCCATGTCACCCTCGGACGTCCAACTCGTCGCTTCCCATGGGGATTCCACTCGAGGGCCTGACGCGTGATGTCCTCAGTCGGCCTTCTCAGTGCATGGCCAATCCATCTCCACTTCCTCCTGCATATTTGTTGCGTGATAGGTTCTTGGTTGGTTCGTTCCCAGAGTTCCTTGTTGCTTATTTTTTCTGGCCATCTGATCTTCAGCAGCGAGCGTAAGCAGTTGTTGATGAATGTCTGTAGTTTATTGGAAATCCTTTCGTGACGCGCCAAGTCTCTGAGCCATACAAGAGCACTGACTTGACGTTGGTGTTGAAAATCCGTATCTTGTTCCAGATGCTGAGTGCAGAAGATCTCCACACTGGTTTCAGGCTAATGAACGCCTGTCTTGCTTTTCCGATTCTGACTTTGACGTCCTCGTCCGTCCCGCCTGTAGTTGAAACAGTGCTTCCTAGATAAGTGAAGGAGGTTACTTCCTTCAAGTTTCTCCCGTTGACGGTGATTGGAGTTTGTTGTTGTTGTTGTTGATGGTGCGGTATCTTCATCACTTCTGTCTTCTCTATATTCACCTGAAGTCCCGTCTTCGCTGCCTCTTCTGTCAACTTGTTAGTTTTTGCCTGCAGATCTTCAAGTTTATGTGACATTAGGCATAAGTCATCGGCGAAATCCAAGTCTTCTAGGTTCTTTTCCGTCGTCCAGTGTATCCCCCTCTTCTCGCTGCCTACTGTTTGCTGCATGATCCAGTCCACCACAATAAGGAATATCATGGGGGATAGTAGGCAACCTTGTTTCACTCCTGTCTTCACTTCAAAGGCATCACTGAGCTTCCCATTGTGGATTACTTGGCATGTGGCATCTTCATATAGTTGTTGAATGAGGCGGATAAAGGTTTGCGGTACTCCGTAGTATTGAAGCAGTTTCCAAATTACTTCTCGGTCGACGCTGTCAAAGGCCTTCTCAAAGTCGATGAAGTTGAGGTAGAGAGCTGATTGCCATTCTACGCTCTGTTCTATGATGATACGAAGTGTTGCAATTTGGTCAGCACATGATTTGTACTTCCTGAAGCCTGCCTGTTCCGGTCGCAGTTTTGAATCCAGTGCGTCTTTAAGCCTCTCCAGGATGATGCGGCTTAATATTTTACTTGGGGTGGACAGGAGAGTGATTCCGCGCCAGTTCTTGCAAGCACTGAGGTCTCCCTTCTTCGGCAGTTTGACAAGGTAACCCTTCTTCCAATCGTCCGGTACCTTCTCTTCCTTCCACACCTTCTGCAATAGTGGTGTGAGCATGTCCGCTGTTGTCTCTGCATCTGTTCTCAGTGCTTCTGGCGGTATTCCATCTGGTCCTGCTGCTTTCCCGCATTTCAGTAGCTTTATGGCGTTCAGGACTTCCATTTTCGTTGGGGGATTTATGTTCACTTGTAATTCAGCGGCTGCAGGTGGTATTTCTGGACGAAGTGCAGGTGGTGGTCGATTCAAGAGCTTCTTGAAGTGGTCGGCCCATCGTTTCCTCTGTTTCTCTTCTTTTGTAATTAAATTTCCTTCTTCATCTTTTATTGGTTTCATCTGTGTTGGTCTCTTCCCTGATAGCAACCTGGTTATTTGATACAATGTCGTCAGGTCTCTCTTACCTGCAGCCTGTTCTGCTTCACTTGCCAGTGTTTCGTAGAAGTGTCTTTTGTCTTTGCGTGCACTCTTCTTCACTTCTTTGTCCAGTGTTTTATACATTGTGCTCAGTTCCTCTTGTCGTTGAGCATCCTTGCACTGGTTTATCTTCTGCTTCACCATCCTCCTCTCCTCTATCAGCTTCCAGGTATCCGTCGAGATCCATTCCTTGTCTTCTTTCTTCTTCCTTCCTAATACTGTTGTGCAGGTTTCTTTCCACATAGCTTTCAAAGACTTCCAGTGTTCTTCCACACAGGTTTCTTCAGGGATG